CAACTTTTACCCAAAGAGTGGAGTCGGTGCGGAAACTGGGACCTCTGGAAATTTCTTTTTGAGAAATTTCATTTCCTCTAAGCTTAGTCAATATTACTCAATTTTAGTGTTCCCTCGGCCCAGGTGCTCACTGCAAAGCAGGGAGCATCAGCCTGAGATTTTCAGTTAACTGTAATCCTTGCCACGGGGCGTCAGGATGGCAGTGTCTTGGCCAGAACTTTGCAGGACGGCTTTCTTTGTTCTGTGGCTACAGGAGTGTCTTGTGGTGTCGCTTTTCCAAAGACAGCCACAGCTCCAATTGCCACTCGGGAGGGCTTGTGGAATGGGTTCTGTGAAGCTGCTGCCGTGGCCTGCGCTGTGAAACTTGTGGCCTGACCTGAGAGTAGAGAGGATGCCCTTTAAACAGAAACATTTTTAAAGTTTTCCTCTTCCTACTTAATTCTCCCTGCCATCCTCTCCCTACTGCCCCATCATCTCTAATCCCCAAATAATGGAGATGCGGGCTCCTGGCAGCAAACGGTGCCACAGGGCATCTCATTTCAGTTGGCATCCTCATGGAGGGACACTGGGCTGATTAGTAGCGGGCGAGCAGCCTTGGGAAATCTGAAAATATACCAGAAGTCATTTTCCAGAAACTACCTCACATGCTTACTTTCCCCCAAATTGCTTTGGCTTTTTAGAGACCGAAATCCTAGTCTTATTGCAAAACAAGTCCTAAGATTAAGGAGATTTTCCTTTGATGAGTTGTATGAAACACATGTCCATTGGCAGCCTGCTGAGGTTGGTCCATGGGGGATGCTAGGCACTAAACTCTATGGAAGGTGGAAAGTTCTGGCCTGGAAAATGGGTGAGAGACATTTGTTTAGAGGGTTTTTGTTTGGTTTTGTTTTTGCTTTGCTTTCTTTTGAGTCTTGCTCTGTTGCCCAGGCTGGAGTGCAGCAGTGCAATTTTGGCTCACTGCAACCTCTGCCTCCGGGTTCACCCGCCCAGCTAATTTTTGTATTTTAGTAGAGACAGGGTTTTGCCATGCAGGTTGGTCTCAAACTCCTGACCTCAAGTGATCCGCCTCCCTCGGCCCCCCTCGGCCTCCCAAAGTGCTGGGATTATAGGCATGAACCGCCTCGCCCACCCCGAGCTCATGGTCTGGTTGTAGAGACAAAGACGTAGGCGATGGCAGTGGGGTTTTGCAAGCGTCGTGGCCGGTTGGTGACGGCTATGCAGAGCGGGGCTGATGGGGCAGGGGAGGGGAGGCCCACCGATGATGATCAGGCCCAGCCCCAAAGCCCACACTCTCTCAGTGCCGAGACAGAGACAGAGATAGACAGACACAGACAGACAGAGGGTCGCTTTTCAGTGTTGTTCACCCCTGTTGGCGACCCTCTGGCACCTGCACCTGCCTCTCTCCTCTGTCTCTCAAAGGTAAAACAGAGAGCCTTGTTGGTGGAAGACATGCCACTCATATCTGCCTAGTAGATACCCCGCAAACAGTTGACTGTGCGGACGGCTTTTCTCAAGGCACACTCTTATCCTGCTCCCTCAACCTGATTTTCATCCTGAATTCTCTGTCTCTAGGCCCACCTCTACCCACCCATCGCACCAAATCAGAGAGGGCAGGATCATCCCAGCTTCCCCCCACTCCACTCCCACATCCAGTGATGCCGCTTTAACTTCAGACTCTCATCCTTTGCTTGGTTCCCATTGTCACTGTGGCACTGCCTCAGATTGGACCTCTTCATTCTGGGCGATGACAACTGAGTCCTAAGTGGCCCCAGCCTCTCCTCTCTCTCACTGCAACCCAAGCACCACACTGCCACCAGCATTGTGCCCTGGAAGCAAATTAGATCACACCAGGGTCTTCCTTCCTTTCTCTTTTTGTTTTTCCCTCCCTCCCTCCCTCCCTTCCTTCTTTCCTTCCTTCCTTTTTCTGGTGGGAGGACAGGGTCTCGCTCTGTCACCTAGGCTCGAGTAGAGTGGTATGATCATGCAGTCTTGACCTCTTAGGCTCAAGCAATCTTCTTACCTCAGCCTCCTGAATAGCCAGGACTACAGACACATGCCACCGCACCAGGGTCATTTTTATATTTTTTGTAGAGGTAGAGTGTTGTTATGCTGTCCAGGCTTGGTCTTGAACTCCTTCCTTCAAGTGATCCTCCCACCTCAGCCTCCCAAGTAGCAGGGACAACAGGCTCGTGCTGGCATGCCCAGCTGATGTTTTTTCTTTTTTGTAGAGACAAGGTCTCGCTATGTTGCTCGGGCTGTTCTCATGCCTTGGCCGCAAGTGGTCCTCTTGCCTTATCCTCCTCACAAAGTGCTGGGTACAAGTGTGAGCCACTGCACCCAGCGGACCATGCCATTCTCAGTCTGAAATATCTCCCATGACTTCACATTGTGTAGAGAATTGAATCTGACTTTCTTAGCATGGCATAGCAGGGTCTGCATCTTGCTTCATCTCGTCCTTCCATCATCTGCTGCAGCCACACGATCTCTCACTAGGGCTTAAGTGCACCTCTTGCCCTTGCACACACTCCACTCTCTGAGCCCAGGCGAGAACATCGCCCACTTCCCAACCTAAGAAGCTCCTATACAACCCACTAAACTCAGCTCAAATATTACCTCCTCTATAAACATACTCCTTTATTTCTTTAGAAAGTCTAAATCATGCCTTCCTCTGTATTTATATCTTTGTAAGTCCTCTGGCCTTATGTTTATATCTTTATATTAGTGCTTGTCATAATATATTGGAATCATCCATATGTACATGTCTTCTTCTTTTTTTTTTTAAAGATGGGGTTTCACCATGATGGCCAGGCTGGTCTTGAACTCCTGACCTCAGGTGATCCACCCACCTCAGACGTACATGTCACTGTCTGGATATCTCTCTTTCTGTCACCCAGGCTCTGTCATCCATACATACATGTTTTCTGTCTGTTTTAGATAGAGACAGCTAGATAGATGGATAGATAAGATAAGCAGATAGATAGAGGCTGGAGTGCAGTGGCACGATTGTGCAGTGGTGCAATTATAGCTCACTGCAGCCTCAATCTCCTGGGCTTAAATGATCCTCCCACCTCAGCTTCCTGAGTTACTAAAACTACAGGTGAACACTACAATGCCTGGCTAATTTTTTATTTTTTATTTTTTTGTGGAGACAGGATCTCAATATGTTGCCCAGGCTGGTCTTGAACTCCTGAGCTCAAGAGATCTTCCCACCTTGGCCTCCCAAAGTGCTGGGATTACAGGTGTGAGCCACTGTGCCCAGCCATCGGAGTTTTATATTTTATTGCCAACATCTAATCTAAGGCTCTGCTCCATGCTGGGTGCTCATTGGCTGTTCGTACCTTGTTACAGGAGTTCCTGTCGGTCCTTTCATCTGTGTATATTGTCAGGGGCCTTTGGTAACCTGAAATTCCCTTACGGTGAGGCAGCAGGAAGCAGAGACACCCAGCAGAGACAGAACCTTGGGGCTCTCTCCTTTATCTTTGGTCATAATTGTCCAACTTCAAAATAAATTCTGTAACACCACCAGTCACCAGGGTTATCATTCTATCAAAGGGTGTTTGATGTTGTCAGTTTAAAGTATTAAAATAAGTAACTTCCACACAAGAGGTACACAAGCAATATCAACCTGAGGACGAGAGCCAAGTACTGGGAAGGCTCAAATCACCTGCATCACCTTTGGAACTGCACTGCATTACTCAAAATTGAGAATGTTCTCGTGCACAGAATGCTGAGATTTGTGTCTGTGTGTGTGGTTTTTTTTTTTTGAGATGGAGTTTCGCTCTTGTTACCCAGGCTGGAGTGCAATGGCACGATCTCGGCTCATCGCAACCTCCGCCTCTTGGGTTCAGGCAATTCTCCTGCCTCAGCCTCCTGAGTATCTGGGATTACAGGCACGCGCCACCATGCCCAGCTAATTTTTTGTATTTTTAGTAGAAACGGGGTTTCACCATGTTGACCAGGATGGTCTCAATCTCTTGACCTGCCTCGGCCTCCCAAAGTGCTGGGATTACAGGCTTGAGCCACCGCGCCCAGCCTATTGAGATTTGTGTCAATGAACTGATGTTAGGTTGTTCTGCAGGAAAACATAGTAAATGTTATCATTTATGGCATAGAAAAAAATATGTTTTCAGATGACTCTAGGCTAAGAGCAATGAAACAATGAAGAGAAAAAACGATCTTTTGACCCAGATCTAGATTGTTCTACCCTTAAAGTATTTAAGGTGATAAGCACATGTCTAAATTACCTGACTTCTCTAATAGTCAAATGGAAAAAAAAAATCAGATGGGAATGGGATGAAGCCGAAGTTTTAAGAAATTCATATTAGGAAATTCAAAATATATGAAATTTCATCTGAAATCAACCAGAGACTTGGATCCTGTTCTGCTTAAGTGAGTTTTACATAATGCAACACAAATTAAATACATTGCTCATAAAATGGACCCAAAACTTCCTACTGAATTGTATAAAATGAGCTTTCTATCATTGTCCCCATCATTGAAAAATAGGATTTTCATAAATCACACTATTTTCCTAATAACCCTGACTTCAAACAGTTCAATTTTTATTTAAAGGAAAGTGATTTCCCAAATGGCATTTAGTCAGAACAGGTGCTGTTCCATTGACAACTTTTAAACGGTTGGAATTAGATTTGACATCTGGATGCCAGAGCTAATCAGGGGGCGTTTCCTCTTTTTCTATCTGTGCTCACTATCTGAAGCCCAGTTTACAGCTTCTCAGTGTATTTTGTACCTCATTAAATGTTTTTGGCATCCTCTATAGCATATTGGCCAGTATGATTCATCCTTTCTTTGAGCACAATTAGCTGTGAAAACAGATCTTAGGACAGACTCCCTCCTCCACCCCGAGGATTACTGAAGGTAGGAAATGCAGGTGATTATCAGAGTCTGCCTTTGATACAGACATCCTGCTCTGCCTTGGCCCTTTGAACTAACTTTGATATGCAATAATTAAGAGGGATTCAACCCCTGGAGGAGAAGCCGCATGGCCCTGCCTCTTTCTCCTTCTATTGAGTCCTTGTTTTGAACTATTGATCAAACAGATTTGAAGGGATTTGTTGAAGCCTGTGTGGGGTAGGAGGAAGCAACAGAGTGGGGAGGATAGGCACATCTGGTTATAAATAGTTTCAGGAGGAACCTGCTGGTCAGACCCGGCTCAGCTGATTTCAAGCACCTCACTCAGACTAAGGTTCGCTTCTCTTTCAGAAAAAGCAGTGACAAACTGACGACGTATTGAGCTGCCAGCTTGGTGGAAGCTCTGCTGTGGGTGGAGAGCAGCCTCGCTTCGGGGACGCACAGTGCTGGGACCCTCCGGGAGCCTGGGGATTGAAGGATGGTGGCAGCCGTCCTGCTGGGACTGAGCTGGCTCTGCTCTCCCCTGGGAGCTCTGGTCCTGGACTTCAACAACATCAGGAGCTCGGCTGATCTGCACGGGGCCCGGAAGGTAAGGCTGCTAGGGAAGGGCCCGAGGTACCGGGCTGCTGACAGCTGGGTGTTCTGTTTAGGCTTTAGTAAGTCATTTTGATTCACGTGTGAAATGTCTTACCTAGCAGGTAAATTGAATTGGCTCCAGATTTGGAGGGCACCCTGGTAAGACCCAGTGGCCTTAGCATGAATGTATGAAATAAACACAGTGGCTTTCTGCATCATTCATTTGTAAGTCAGGGAATAAACCAACACTTCGAAAGCTCTGCTCTGTGCCAGCTCTTTTACATGTAATACCTCATTTACTCTTCCTCACAACTTGAGACAGGTGAAACACCCCCTAATTCCAGATGAGGAAATAAGACGAGATGCTGAGGAGCTTACCCAAGCTCGCACAGCCAGCAAACATGGGAGCAAGGATTTAAACGGAGGGCCATGATGGTGCCTTGTCACCGTCTAACTTCACAGAGAGTTGTTTTAGGGATTGCTTTATATATGTCTATGTTATTATATATCTTATATATTACTATATATATCATATATACTATATGTACATATCTCTGTAAAAGCATCAACTGTTGATGGGAACAATTGATCTTCAGTATCTCTTTCTCTGTGTAAATGAGGCATCATTGAAAATCAAAGGACAGTTCATTTAGGGAAGGCTCTTTAAGTTACATTTGATTCACTAGACTAAAAAATCAAATAGGAATGCCACAAACATCAGTAATATATTTAATTAAACTGCAGCCAGCTTCCAGAGTTAAGATCTATTGAATATCTCATAATCACCTTTTAAGACACACGTAGGAAAACATTTTCTCCCATTTTCACAAAGAGCACAGGAAAACGAAATTCTGAGTTAAGACAATTTTTCAAACTCAAATAGCCTTTGCAGCACCCAGGTCTCTCCCCAGGTGATCTGAGCTTTCCTTCGTGGGAGAAAACCATTTCCACCGAAAAATAAGGTGCTGCCCAGGGTTTGTCACAGTGCCACTGTCCTTTGCCTCCCTCCACCTCCTGCCTTGAATAAAAAGTCATCTTCCATTGTGTTGGGTTTTCTAGCCTTGTGACAGCAGCTTCCCTCCACAGGGCTCACAGTGCCTGTCCGACATGGACTGCAATACCAGAAAGTTCTGCCTCCAGCCTCGCGATGAGATGCCCTTCTGTGCTACATGTCGTGGGTTGCAGAGGAGGTGCCAGCGAGATGCCATGTGCTGCCCTGGGACATTCTGTGTGAATGGTGAGTGACCATAATGCCAACAGTGGTTTTTAACCCGAAGGCAGTGTCTAAGCCCCATGGACAAGAATATTCCAAGGCAGGCACTTTCTAATAGCGCTTTCTAGATTCATGCTTGAGGTAAATTTATGCAGCTGCCTTTCTTTTTTCTTTTTTTGAGACAGAGTCTTGCTCTTGTTGCCCAGACTGGAGTGCAATGGCACGATCTTGGCTCACTGCAACCTCTGCCTCCTGGGTTCAAGACATTCTCCTGCCTCAGCCTCTGGAATAACTGGGATTACAGGTGTGCACCACCATGCCCAGCTAATTTTTGTATTTTTAGTAGAGACGGGTTTTTGCCATGTTGGTTAGGCTAGTCTCGAACGCCTGGCCTCAGGTGATCCAACCACCTCAGCATTATAAAGTGCGGAGATTATAGGTGTGAACCACCGTGCCTGGCCTGCCTTTTCTTAATAAAACAGAATAATTTATTTCCTGGCAACAGCTTTTGCCAATGACTTGGAGATAATGATTTTGAAGGAAAGATTCAAGTTGGAAACATTCAAAGACTTCCATTTCCACTTGGATTCTATTAGCTACTTTTATTGGAATCCGATTTCCATTTAGCTACCTTGTCTGCCACATGTGAGCATGTGAATATTTAGTTCATGTCCCAGAAATCTAGAAAGTTACATATAAACTGAAGGCAGAGGTGCAGCCAAACTTAGTAACAGCAGGCTAATTAGCGTGGCCTGGTTCTCCTTCTTGAAGTTAGTAATTCCAGTTACACCTGGTTGTCTCTCAGATGTTTGTACTACAATGGAAGATGCAACCCCAATATTGGAAAGACAGCCCGACGAGCAAGATGGCACAGATGCAGAAGGAACAACTGGGCACCCAGTTCAGGAAAACAAACCCAAGAGGAAGCCAAGCATTAAGAAATCACAGGGCAGGAAGGGTAAGAGCAGCATTCTGAGCACCTTTTATTTCAGAAATGCATTTTCTCCTCTCAGCCTCTTAAGGATAGGCTGACTAACTTTATTCTTCTCCATCAAAGAAACACTTAAGGAGCATGTGCTGTTGTAATCTCTTTCCATAAGAAGCTGTGGGGGTCACAAAGAGAGTGGCCTAAGGTAGTCTGCAGGTTGAGAGAACGAGGGAATAGCCAGTAACAGTAAATCAATTCCATTGGGTAGGGGTGGAATTGCCATTGCATTACTGCTTTTAGCCTAAGACCTAGCTCTGTGAGACCCATGTGCTGTGTCTGTTTTTACTTTGTGGCTGTCAGTCGTAGGTCCCATCCCCTTATCCCAGTAGCAGTGCCCGGGCAGGCCACTTTTCCCGTTTATCACTAAAGCCCACATTAACCTTGTTACAGGACAAGAGGGAGAAAGTTGTCTGAGAACTTTTGACTGCGGCCCTGGACTTTGCTGTGCTCGTCATTTTTGGACGAAAATTTGTAAGCCAGTCCTTTTGGAGGGACAGGTCTGCTCCAGGAGAGGGCACAAAGACACTGCTCAAGCTCCAGAAATCTTCCAGCGTTGCGACTGTGGCCCTGGACTACTGTGTCGAAGCCAACTCACCAGCAATGGGCAGCATGCACGGCTAAGAGTATGCCAAAAAATCGAAAAGCTATAAATATCTCAACATAAAGAAGAATCCTCACTGCATTCTAGCTCAGTCTTGGACATGAACTTTCAAATGCTTCCATACAGATCTCTCCTAAAATCAAATCTTACAGCAAGCAAAATAGCCTCAAACTAGAGAATTGAGATGATGGCCTTGTGATGAATGAGACTAGCATTAGCTTTTTGTCTGTTTTTCCAGAAAACCAATGAGATTCTGTAACAAAATAATTTATTTCTAATCTAGGGACTCAATTCAAATCTTTAAGAATTGAAATTTAAGGTATATATTTAAGGTATACAGCGTGAGGTCTTGAAATAAATATACTATAGTTGAGCTACATCTCTCTCTCCAAATAACTCTTTAAGCAATTTCTGGTGAAGGCTGGTGCCTGACAGTATCCTAGGGGGGAAAAACGATAGCATCTGAGGTTAAATTAATTCTTTTATCTTACCAGGAAAAATTATCACAGCAAATACTGTATTTTTCCTTAAAAACCATTCATTTCTTGGAAAGGAAATGGCATTTCATGACAAAATAATTTGGTTAATAAAGAAGTTTCAAAAAGTAATGTCCTATGTCTGTATAGTCCTTTGCAAGTTATAAAGCATTTTTACATGTTTTCGGTAGCTTTACTTACCATTTGATAATTTTGATATTTATATAATTTTAATATTTGAAAGGCAGGGCTTTCAAGGACTGTTACTTATACATTTTGGCCACTTGCACTTAAAAGTTAACCCAGAGGAAAACCTAGGCAAAAAAGTGAAATTTTTGTATGAAGTTTAAAAGGCTAGATTTTTGTGCATACAAGTGGCTGTGCTTAGGAAAGCTCTTTCTAGTGAATTTCAAGCAAGTGCTACAGATTTCATCTCAGAGTTAAACCATATACCTGTTTTTCTATTCAGGTGATAAGTGTATATTACAAGATCAGTGATATAGTTTGGAAGTTTGTCCCCTCTGTATCTCATGTTGAAATGTGACCTCCAGTGTTGGAGGTGGGGCCTGGCAGGAGGTGACTAGACCATGGGGGCGGATTCCTCATGGATGGCTCAGCACCATCCTCTTGGTGGTAAGTGAGTTGTCAGTTCACACAAGATCTGATTGAGAGTATGGCACCTCCTCTCTCTCATTCCTGCTTTTGCCATGTGAAGGGCCTGTTCCTGCTTCATCTCCCACCATGAGCAAAACCTTCCTGAGGCCTCCCAAGAAGCTTAGCAGATGCCAGTGCCATGCTTCCTATATAGTCTACGGAACTGTGAGCCAATTAAACCTTTTTCTTTCTTTCTTTTTTTTTTTTTTTTTTTTTTTTGAGACAGAGTCTTACTCTGTCCCAGGTTGGAGTGCAATGGTGCAATCTCAGCTCACTGCAAACTCTGCCTCCTGGGTTCAAGGAATTCTCCCTCAGTCTGCCAAGTAGCTGGGATTACAGGTGTGTGCTACCACACCCAGCTAATTTTTGTATTTTTAGTAGAGACAGGGTTTCACTTGAACTCCTAATCTCGTGGTCCACCGGACTTGGCCTCCCAAAGTGCTAGGATTACAGGCGAGAGCCACCACGCCTGGCCAATTAAACCTTTTTCTTTCATAAACTACCCAGTCTCCAGTATTCTTTTATAGCAATGCAAGAATGGACTGATACAACCAAATATGGGCCCAACAAAAAATTGCACTTATAAAGGTCCCTAGTTACTGCTTTTTTCTTTGAGATGGAGTCTCGCTCTGTCACCCAGGCTGGAGTGTAGTGGCGCGATCTCAGCTTACTGCAACTTCCACCTCCAAGTTCAAGCAATTTTCCCACCTCAGACTCCTAAGTAGCTGGGATTATAGACATGTGCCACCACTCCCAGCTAGTTTTTGTATTTTTGGTAGAAATGGGGTTTCACCATGTTGGCTAGGCTGGTCTCCAACTGCGGACCTCAGGCTATCCACCTGCCTCAGCCACCCAAAGTGCTGGGATTACAGGCATGAGCCACCGTACCTGGTTTCTAGAAAATCCTGAACAATCTTCCCGAGGCTAGCTTCTGGTTGTACCTTAATTAACCAATTTGTGATCAGTAAGTAGGGGTAACATGGTTTATAGCACAGAGCAGAATATGAGAAAATAAAAACTTCCATTCGAGATCTGCTATCATCTCGTATCTCTCTACCAAACCTATAGTAAAGTATGATCATGAATATGAAAATTAAAACATATTTGCTAAGGAAATAAGAACATCATCATCCAATAACAGTACAAGAGATTTTATTGACTACATTGCAAGCTAAAGCATGAAGAAGAAACGATCATTTAAAAACACCAAAGACCCTTACATAGCAAAGGTTAAGAAATAAATTAAAACTCCTGTTGGGCTTTGTCTGCCAGGGAAGCTACAGGCCTCATTCACTCCGGTCCTTGGGTTCTCGGTATTTCCACTGGATGTAATCAAAGATGTCTTTCTCACTATCCACTGGCAGTGGTTCTCCAGCAACTCCTGCAAGTACAGAGAGAAAAAACTTACTGTAAGAACCAGTTTTGTAATTTAGTTATAGAGGGGTTCAGGATTAAGAGTTGTGTGGGACAGGCTGGGCGCAGTGGCTCACGCCTGTAATCCCAGCACTTTGGGAGGCCAAGGTGGGTGGACCACGAGGTCAAGAGATCGAGACCATACTGGACAACATGGTGAAACCCTGTCTCTACTAAAAATACAAAAATTAGCCGGGCGTGGTGGTGCCTGTGGTCCCGGCTACTTGGGAGGCTGAGGTGGAAGAATCATTTGAACCCGGGAGGCAGAGGTTGCAGTGAGCCGAGACTGGCCACTGCACTCCAGCCTGGCAATAGAGCAAGACTCTGTCTCAAAAAAAAAAAAAAAGAGTTGTGTGGAACTTGCTTTCAAAAGAAAAAAGAAAATGGTAACCAAGTCCCTAAAAATAAAAAAAAAAGACACTGGCTGGGCACGGTGGCTCACACCTGTAATCCCAGCACTTTAGGAGGCTGAGGCAGACAGATAACCTGAGGTCAGGAGTGTGAGACCAGCCTGTCCAACATGGAGAAACCCCATCTCTACTAAACATACAAAATTAGCAGGCATAGTAGCACATTCCTGTAATCCCAGCTACTCGGGAGGCTGAGGCAGGAGAAATGCTTGAACCCAGGAGGCGGAGGTTGCAGTAAGCTGAGATCGCGCCATTGCACTCCATCCTGGACAACAACAGTGAAACTCCGTCTCAAAAAAAAGACACTGACCATGTCTATCCTCTCCCAGGAGCCTGTGCAGGACCTTTGTCTTGTGTGTCACCAGTGCCACAAAAGGGAAACTGGGCATCCCAGCTAGGGCCACTCAAGTCATCCTCACTCATGATTGTCCTCTCTGCTGGAGCCACTATGTATTATATAAAATACTCTAGTGAGTTCCTTTGCAACTCAGTTCTTGGACTAGCAGCACTGGCATTATCTAGAATAAGTTTATCCAGACCATGGTCCACATGCGGCCCAGCATGACTTTCAATGTGGCCCAACACAAATTCGTAAACTTTCTTAAAACACGAGATGTTTTTGTGATTTTTTTTTTTAAAAGCTCATCAGCTATCGTGTTAGTGTATTTTATGTGTGGCCCAAGACAATAATTATTCTTCAAATGTGGCCCAGGGAAGCCAAAAGATTGGAAACCCTTGATTTAGAAGCTTACTAGAAATGCAGAATTTTGAGCCTCACTGCAAGCCCAAGGAATTAGAATCTGAATTTAGTGAGGTCACTGTGTTACTGGTATGCACACTTAATTGTGAGAAGTACTACCCTTGTTTACCAGAGATGAAAGCTCTTATTTTACACTTTGAGGACAAAATGACAAAAATTCATTCTCTATAGTAAACCACACGGTATACTGTGAAATGTTAACAGGACCCATTAAGCATAGATTCTTTGAAAATTCTTTAAAAGCATGGGACCAAAGATACTGTGAATGCAAAGTGTGTGGCACTGAAAACAATGCTACTTGAGTTCTACACTAACTGGCATAGTTACTAGACGGCTTTTAGGGAAACTACATTTGCTAAACCAAAGTATCTTTGAAAATAACCTTCTCTCCAGATGAGAGATGATCTCTAATACAGACATGGATACTCACCAGTGACTCCCAAGGGACGGATGGTGTACTCATTGATTGTGAAGCCCTTTTCTAGGGCATAAGCCCTCATATTCTTATTGAAAATATCACTCCCAGTGAAATAGAGAACACCACAGTAATACTGATCTTTGGGTATCAACCTAAAAAAAAATGGACAGTAGATACATTTTTTTTTACTATGCATTTAGAGTTTAGCAAATATAGGACTCCTAAAATTAATAAGGAATAAAATACCTAAAATAAGCCTAAGTGGTCTAATAACTTGGAGAAGACTATCATTAGGTAGACTGCTCAAATCACTCCAACCTTGTAATTTGTTTAGGTTTCAGGAAACTTTGTTCTGAAAGAGGTGTGGAGAAATGAAATTGCATTATCACTTATTACAACTAACTTAGCCCAGGCAGGAAATGACTTTTGAGCAGTGGAAGGCATCATGGTGAGGTGCAAATCTAGAGGAAATAAATCAGATTCTGTAGACAGTCATTATTCTTTACATACTTTGGAGCTAAACATTGCATTTGGCAAGAACATATGGCTCTTGAGGGTAAAAGAGGCTCTAGATATAAATGTGAACTCTAACATACAAACAGGGAGAAAACAAGACAAGTTGGAAAAATTAACAGGTCAGCAACGAAGTCTGAACAATACCTGATATCAATTCTTCTGTGTGGATATTCTTTTTCATCATTTTTACTGGGAAGTTGGCAAACACCCTAAAATGAATATTTTAAACAATGTTTAAAGATTTTCTAAACTTAAGGTTTAATTTTAATCAAGTAAAACACAAGGTCATTTTTGTTTTTAGTGTTGGCAGCTCTAGAATTCTGAGCCTTTTAACTGCGCAGCTTCTGTGAGCAATATACTATCACCACCTGTCTATTACGCTTCATGATAATTAGAGAACTACACAAAACGCAAACAAGGATTCTCATTATGAGGATTTGGCCTTTGCATGATTCTAAACAAGAAACTAATCAAAGAAAACACTGAAGAGGAAACACAGAGATCAAGATAAACAGAAGAGAGCAATGTGGAAGAAACAATCATTATGCAGGAAGAAGAAAACAAAAAACAGCTACCAGTAATAGTCTCAGGTAACCAGAGATACTCTATCCATGAAATAAGAATAGAATACTACAGAAATCCCTTGGGGAAAGGTTTAACTCAAAATTTAAAATGATAGGTAGCAGAAGTAAAAGAGTTTGAAATTGAAGACATCTCTCAAACACTACAAGGGAGAAAGACATGAAAAATAAGAAAAATATGAGATAAGAAAATGAGAGGATCACTTTCTTCCTTCTCCATAGGTGAGTTTTCATTATATGTCTACAGTTTCAAACGAAAGTTATCCAAGTCTGTTTTATCTTTTCCCTTTCCGGAAAGATGGGCAAAAAATCTGGACTGGTCAGTAACCCATACATATGTAAAACGAGCTGTAAATACCATCAAATTTCCAATTAAAAGT